GGTTTTTGAAATGGTAATCATGGGAATATGTATACTTTGTGAATATGCATGTTTAAAGTATATATATTTCTTTATTTCCTCCAGTTTTGAAGAGTACATTTTTCATGTATATTGTGAGAATTTTCTTTACCCAAATAAACCATCTTGAAATACTGATAAAAGAGTTTTTGGTAACTTTTCACTGTAAAATGACATTAATGTCAGTCAGTGTAACAAGAGATCCGAGCTGGCCACTGAGCTGACCACTCTACTAGATCTATAAATGATTAACTTTTGCCACTTAAATTACATGTTTATAAAACATATCTTACTATTATGTTCATTAGGATCCCTCTCGCAGCTCAGTGAATACATTCCGTAAGAAAGTAAACGATAGTGAAACATTCGAACGAATCACAGGAGATTATTATATTCATATGACCATGTGATGTGTGGCAGCCGTAAAAATGTTCGTTCTCTATATCAGTGCTGGTATACTTGCCTACTTCTGGATCATTGTTTTAAACTAACTGTTGAAGATGAAAACGGTTTAGCCGTGTAACACCGCACTTTGTGGTCCAACGCACTTAGGGGTTCGACCCTAGGGTTAGGACCCCAAAGTGCGGCAACACTTCACATTCCACTTTGTGGGGGGGGGGGATTGAATCCCAAAGTGCGTTAATATGCTACATATCAAAACACTTTAGGTTCCAAAGTTCTGAATGTGTAAACCGAGGTCTGCTTCAATACAGATTACTGACTTATTTTCGATCTTGCCTGGTACTATATCATTGTTTTAAATGATGAAGATTGAAAATGGTTAATCCGGTTCTGGCTGCTTATAACTTGAGCTTGTTGAGTTTCTCATCATTTCCCTAGAACTTGATTATGTTTAACATAGATCTTACTGTTTTTCAGATATTTTTTGTTATTTATTTACAGACTTCATGCAATGAAATGAAAATGCATTTAGTTTACATCACACCACTAGATGAATACAACTTCATAAGTGAAACTTTAAATGGTAAATATCCTTCCGCTAGGAAAGCGTGTCAGTCTTGTAAATTATTGTATTGTCTTTATAAATATGTTTTTAGATCTACACATCTTCATGGTACTTTAATCAAATTTCGATGTTTTGGGATTCTAACATCAACGAAAAAAAAAAAAAAAAAGAAACCCCAAATGGCAATGTTAAATATGATTTGTCGCTTTTATTGACCTTTTAAAGAAGGGTAGTGGTTCTGAATGTACCGCCCACATCCCTACACCGGGGTTAAGAATTTCAACATTTTTACTTGACATTGGGCTAAGAATAGATTTTTTCAAAATTTTTTCACTGAAATATATTTTTAAAAAATTAAAAATTTTCCGCGAAAGGTTTGTTTTTTTAAATACCAAAAATAAAATATCAACAAAAAAACCAATTGAAATTTTTTCAAAGCTACCTATAATAAAACGATTATATTTTGCGGGGGGCATACACCCAAACCTTGTTTCTGGGTAGGTGGGTATGTGGAAATGATGAAAAACTGTATTTTTTAGATGGGAAGGGCCCTTTAAAGGAGTGGGGGAAAATGACCAGCCGATGACTGGGAGGAAAGAATTGTGTCCAATTTTCAAAACTCAAATTTAATATAAAGAAAGTTTGATCCTGGCCTATATATTTAATATTTATCAATATTTTCAGATAAAAAAAACTTTATACACACTTTAAAATACGTATTTAAATTTTGTTTGGAAACCTTTTCAGTGCCAGGGTTGTTATTTCAACAATTAATTGTTGACCATCATAGTATCCCCCCCCCCCATTATTTTATACAGGGTTTATTTTTAGTTTTTGTAGAAACTAACACAAAAACCGCCGGACCAACAGTACCAAACAATTGCTTAAAATTTTTTGCTATGAAAACAATGTTTGGCCCCACGGGGCAATGAGTGGGCTTTAGTAAAGCAGGCGTGACCCCTCGTATGTACTTTACATGTTCTTTAATTTTTCATATTTTGGGTATTATGAAAACATAAGTGAATTTATACCCTTTAAAAAAAAAGTAAAAGTTAATTATACAATGTAATGGTAATGATAAAGAATGTCACATAGTGGATACTACAGAATTTGTTGAGTTCTTCATTTATCCTTCCAGAGTTTTGCAATGGATTATTATGACTTCTGTGAACATCCCGCAGGTCATCTTGCTAATAATCAAATTCAGAAGAAGATGTATGAACTCGCCCACTAACATGTCGAAATTTGATCGTTCAAGTTCAAGGTTTCTGTTCAAATCAGAGCGAGGTTTCCGTTGAGATATTATAACGGCGGTCATTTTAAATTTAAGTGTATATCCCCCAAAAATGCGATGCGTATGTGATATTATTATAAACGCAGTATTTGACAATTACCCTTTTTCAACTTATTTCAATGCAATGCTAAAACAGTTATAACTTCAGGATAATTATGCATAAATTTAACACACATTATCTCCTATTATTAAAGAACGTTTATAACGTGTTTCGTTGTCATGTCTCCTCGTACTTTTCTTGTTTCTTGGTGACTGAAATTTCTTTATAAAAATTTGTTTATAATGCATGTATATGCATTCAAAGTACGACTTGTTTATTTTGAAAAGAATGCATTCAGAGAGACTTAATTTAATGCATTTGTATAAAACGAGAAATTGAATAAAAATGCATAATTCACAACGGAATGCAAACGATATGCTTTTAGTAACATCTAGATCTAAAACATACTCGATAAGTTACTTTATTTAATTTAAAGCGCCAACGGATTGAAACATGAAACATGAAAAATTTAGATATGAAATCTGAAAAATCAATCAATACGAGATATGATCTACAGACTTTATTTGACCTTATCCAAAGTACTCTTCGATGCATCACACCCATGAGACTTTCTGTTTGATTTCCTGGCATAAATAAACTGAAAGCTTCATCAATTCATTAATAGCTTCGTTGCGGTGCTATAGTGCGTGTCATTGTTCACTTAGTAAGTGATGTTTTCATTAAATTGGATTACATTATACAATAACAAGGATTAATGAATTGGAATATGAAAATATTAAGTTACTGTTGTATTAGATTGATTAAAACACCATCGTTAAAAACAGAAAATGTAAAAGCAAATGCTTATTTTGTCTGACTTTTAGTGTGAAAATATTTAGAGGAAAAAAAAGGAAACTGGAATTGATCTTTTAACTGCTTTACTGCTATTTGAGGAACTCCGTGCTTTTTCGCCATATCTTTATCTTTTTTTTTGTTTAAACATAGAAATAGAAAGTAAAAACTTTGAAAACATATTTAAGGATATTCTAACGGGAAAAAAAACAACTGACAATATGATTTTACTGGTTCTAATATTTATCCAGTGTTCTTTGCCGACGACAGGTTTGAATTTACAGGAAGTTAACTTACATAAGGAATTATTTGATGATTATAATCCGAATGTTATCCCTCAAGAGAACAAATCAGCACCAGTTGAAGTTACACTGGATATGTTTCTGATGTCTATTGATAAAATTGATGAAAAAAGACAGACGATTTCCATCAAAGCGTTTCTTGAAATTCGGTGGCGAGATGCCTTCCTTGTATGGGATAGAACAAAATATCCTGAAATATCTAGAATCAGTGTACAAAATTCGGATATATGGATACCGGATGTCGCATTACAGGACACGTTTGATAAACTGACTGATTTAGGACAGGTAGGAGGGAAAGGTAATGTAGACAGTGATGGCATTGTAACCATTTGGCCTTATAAGATCTACACGGTCACTTGTAAAGTCTCCATAGGAAAGTTCCCATTCGACAAGCAAAAATGTCATTTTGATTTTCTGTCTTGGAGTCATTCAACATCAGTTCTGACTTTAAAAAGCACGCAAAAGAAACCGGATATGAAATATTTCACAGAAAGCGGCGAGTGGGATCTAACCGGAAGTGCCGTGAAATTGGTCAGACGTCCGTACGGAAACGATTCATGGGACCATGTATATTTCCATTTTGAAATGCATCGTAAATCATTATATCAGATTTTAAACGTTATTGTACCAGTTCTGTGTATCTCAGTATTGAATATCGTTTCATTTCTTCTTCCTTCAGAAAGCGGTGAGAGGGTAACTTTGTCCATTTCAATATTCCTAACACTTGCTGTTTTCTTGACAACTGTGAATAGCTCCATGCCAGAATCGTCTGACGAAGTGGCCTCTTTTAGCATTTACATAGGATTGCAATTGCTTGGAAGTGCAATCACCATCATGTTTACGGTATTTTCATTAAATGTTTTCCACCACGAGAAAAGCTGTCCTTTACCACGATTTTTGAAGAAGCTGGTCAAGATATGTTGCGTCAAAACAAATAAGAATTACGTAACTGGAACGGATATTCCTAACGAGAATTATGCACTGTGCTTGAACAACACATTGCATGAGCAGCGAGAAGAAGTTAACAGGGAAGACGTAACAGTGACATGGACAATGGTATCAACGGCAGTAGACAAACTGTGTCTTGTTTCTGCAGTCTTTTGGCATATCATCCTGACAGCAAGCTTATTGATCAGCGTTAGTAATTAAATAATATACGCTTTCTTTTGGTATTTTATATGTGTGACTTTGTATATCAATCGTATTATTGTTAGACGGTAAAAGCTAGTAATTTCTCAGTCGCATATTATACACAACCAATTCTATTTATTGTAATTACATTTGTATTTACTTTTGTTTCTTTCCATTTTTGTTTAGATAAATATATTTAATGGTATTCCATAATCAAGTTTTATATCATCATACGTTTTAAATACAAATAAAGAAATTATGTATTGTTAAAGCCTAGACTTGTGGCCAGTCACTCTCAAACATTCTGCAAGTTGGTGGAGCGGTGGCGTAGTGGTTAAGGCGTCTGCCTCTCAACCCAGGGAGCATAGGTTAGATCCCTAATCGGGTCACAATTATGTTTCACCATATGATACCTGTGCTCGTTTTTTTCCAGGAAGAGGATTCGAAAGTGATTAATACATGACAATGACAATTTATTTATTGAATTTAGCCACTTGCCCATTACATCAATATTTAACATATGATATAATTTCTTGACTGCATTATATGTTGCCAGAACTTGTTTCGCAATCGAAAATGACCTCGGTGTCCGCAGATTGGATCCACACGCATCATGTGGAGTTTGTTATTTTTTTAGAAATACATTCATGAACAATTATCAATAATAAAAGTGTCCTACGTCAAAAGTTATTTCTGTACGCATGATAAGTCAAAGACGATGGCATAACGTCAATATGAAGAGACGTTTTTTTTCACTCCAGGAAAACCGTTGCTCCCTTTATTATACCTTAACTATATCGAAAAGTTATCATAAGCTCACTCTTTCGTATGGCCCGAATAGCTGATAGCTGTTTGATGAGGAAAATGGATTAATATTCCCGTCCTATCTCTACTAATAGTTTAGCATTGAACCGAAACAATCTTATTTCTTTATTGTTACGACTATACAATAAGACTAAGTATGACAGGTTTGACGTTAGTACATATCTTTTTAAATATGCAATTTAGGATTATCATAAAATTGAAAAAAAATTAAGAAATAAATGAAATATCTTTTATCTCGTTGAACATGTCATTGGACAAGTGCATGGGGTGTTCGTCAAACAAACCATTTGGATCTGTTTATTAATAACATCATCTGATCCTAAGAAAAATAAACAAAAAAACTCCTCTTAAAAAGCGGGAGGTAATAAGATAATGTATATTTGACTGGAGGGCGTATTCATGCAAACACGTGTCCTTTAACTCACGGCTATAAAAGCTCACATACAGAATAACAGTAACTGCTACACCCTCTGTCGTTCCATTTGTAAGTTCCTGGGTTAAGAGTGATGCAATACTGGCCGTCTATATTGTTTGGCTGTTCTTTATCCCATTGATACTCGGTGATCTGTTCTCCATCAAGCCATTCAAACTTGTCATCGCTTGTTCGAACGCCACCAATCCAAAAGCACACGTTACCGTAGGCTATGAGGTAAAAATTAAAATTATCAGATTTTAATATACATGTAATTGAGATTGTATGTTTGGTCAAAATAACTCTGCAATAACCACATCGCGACATGACAGATGAAACATGGCCTAACAGTAACCGTTTGGATTAAACACACAGAGGATTACAATGGAATATCCACTTGCATTCCGCAAAATGACTGAGGACACTTTGAAAACGTCAATAAATAAATTCTGCGTTTGTTAAAGAATTAAGAAGGATACATATTTACGATAATCCATAAATACCATGCATAAATAATGACAGTAAAATATTTACTAATACCGCTCATTAAAAACGTACTTCATTAAGCAGGAAGACAATTTGTTTGAGTTTGGAACACTCCGCACGAAATCATAATAACTTCTTTGAGAGATATAACGCATGCTCGTCCTTTTTAAAAGAAGTACCAGTCCTTATTTCATGTATTAGGTTTAAAGCGACATCAGCCTGTTGTAGTTTGTTTATTACATATTTTGATGTTTGGTTGTGATATGCTTTATTTAATTGTCTTATATATTTATGATGGATAGTTACTTGTAATCTCAACTGACACTATGGTGACTCCCAAATTAGTTGTGAAAGGAGACATTTGATGACCCTCTGTACATATGCGAAACCTTTCAGTACAACGCCACCAAACAGTATGATAGCTGGGTAGCTTCTTAATTGAAGTAATTCAATAATCGATCAGATGACTTCCTCAGTCCGTTAACTTAAGCAAATCAATTATCGGTTAAATGCCTTCCTTAGCCCACAAATCGATGAAAAATGATAATAGCTAAGATGATTGTCTGGTCAACAGGTATACTCACGTTCGGGTATAATTTCCTCTATAAATTTCTGCTCTGCTTCCGACTTTATATACACTAGATGTAACTTCATTCTTTGGCATTCAGCCTGCAATAATACATTTGTAGTTCAGTAATTCTGCTTCATTCTAGAGTCTGGTCTAACTTTGTAATGTCGCTTGTTTTATTTTAAATGTGTGATATTACAAATTAATTACAAGAAGAACAAAGACATTATTTAAATCTAGTTTATGAAGTTGAATAAAGAATTTAGCCGGTAATTTAGTGTTTAATTAGACAGTATCTGGCAACAGACTGAAAAGTATAGGACAGAGAACAATGATACCAAGTAGCTGAACTAGAATTATTGTACAAAGAACGCTGACAGAATTGTTATACCAAGAACAATGAAATAAAATGATTATACTAGAACGCTAAAATATTATAATAATACCAAGCAAGATGAAAAAGAATAATTATACCAAGAACGCTGAAATAGAATAATTATACCGAGAACGCTGACATCAAATAATTATACCAAGTACTCTATTGAATAATTATACCAAGTACACTGACATTGAAAGATTATACCAAGAACGCTGAAATAGAAAAAAAGTATACAATGAACGCTGACAAAGAATGATTATACCAAGAACGCTGACATCAAATAATTATACCAAGTACACTGACATAGAAAGATTATACCAAAAATTAATAATTATACCAAGAACGCTGGCATAGAATAATTATACCAAAAATGCTGAAATAGAATGGTTATATCAAGATTGCTGAAATAGCAAAATCATACCAAGGACGCTGAAATAAAACGATTATACCAAGTGCAGTGACTTAGAATAATTATACCAAGTACACTGACATAAAAAGATCATACATGTTGAGGGCCTCATGGAAGATTGATATGTTTGTTCAAATGAGTTATCTCGTTAAATAAAGTCTTTATTATTATTATTATTATTATTATTATTATTATTATTATTATTATTGTTATATATACCAAGAAGGCAAGAACGCTGAAATAAAATAATTATACCAAGTACGCTGAAATAGAATGATTATACCAAGAACGCTGACATAGAATAATTATACCAAGAACGCTGAAATAGATAAAGTATACAATGAACGCTGACATAGAATGATTATACCAAAAACGCTGAAATAGAATAATTATACCAAGAACGCTGACATAGAATAATTATACCAAGAATGCTGAAATAGAATGATTATACCAAGAACGCTGAAAGAGAATGATTATACCAAGAACGCTGAAATAAAATAATTATACCAAGTACGCTGAAATAGAATGATTATACCAAGAACGCTGAAATAGAATAATTATACCAAGAAAACGCTGAAATAGAATAATTATACCAAGAACGCTGAAATAAAATGATTATACCAAGTACGCTGAAATAGAATGATTATACCAAGAACGCTGCCATAGAATGATTATACCAAGAACGCTGAAAGAATGATTATACCAAGAGCGCTGAATAGAATAATTATACCAAAGAAACGCTGAAATAAAATGATTATACCAAGAACGCTGAAGAGAATGATTATACCAAGAACGCTGAAATAAAATAATTATACCAAGTACGCTGAAATAGAATGATTATACCAAGAACGCTGAAATAGAATAATTTATACCAAGAACGCTGAAAATAAAATGATTATAACCAAAGTACGCTGAAATAGAATGATTATACCAAGTACGCTGAAATAGAATAATTATACCAAGAAACGCTGACATAGAATGATTATACCAGAACGCTGAAATAAAATGATTATACCAAAGTAACGCTGAAATAGAATGATTATACCAAGTACGCTGAAATAGAATGATTATACCCAAGTACGCTGACATAGAATTGATTATACCAAGAACGCTGCCATAGAATGATTATACCAAGAACGCTGAAAATAAAATGATTATTACCAAGAACGCTGAAAGAGAAATAATTATACCAAGAACGCTGAATATAGAATAATTATACCAAGTACGCTGACATAGAATGATTATACCAAGAAACGCTGAAAGAGAATAATTATACACAAGAACGCTGAAATAGAATAATATTATACCAAGTACGCTGATATAGAATGATTATACCAAGAACGCTGAAAGAGAAATAATTATACCAAGAACGCTGAAAGATAGAATGATTATACAAGAACGCTGACATAGAATGATCATACCAAGAACGCTGAAATAAAAATGATTATACCAAGAACGCTGAAAGAGAATAATTATACCAAGAACGCTGAAATAGAATAATTATACCAAGTACGCTGACATAGAATGATTATACCAAGAAACGCTGAAAGAGAATAATTATACCAAGAACGCTGACAATAGAATGATTATACAAGAACGCTGAAATAGAATAATTATACCAAGAACGCTGAATAGAATGATTATACCAAGAACGCTGACATAGAATGATTATACCAAAAGAACGCTGAAATAAATAATTATACAAGTACGCTGAAAGAGAATAATTATACCAAGACGCTGACATAGAATGATTATACCAAGAACGCTGAAAGAGAATAATTATACCAAGAAACGCTGAAATAGAATGATTATACCAAGAACGCTGACATAGAATGATTATACCAAGAACGCTGAAATAGAATGATTATATACCAAGTACGCTGAAAGAGAATGATTATACCAAGAACGCTGAAAGAGAATAATTATACCAAGAACGCTGAAATAGAATAATTATACCAAGTACGCTGACATAGAATGATTATACCAAGAACGCTGAAAGAGAATAATTATACCAAGAACGCTGAAATAGAATGATTATACCAAGAACGCTGACATAGAATGATTATACCAAGAACGCTGAAATAGAATGATTATACCAAGTACGCTGACATAGAATGATTATACCAAGAACGCTGAAATAAAATAATTATACCAAGAACGCTGAAAGAGAATAGTTATACCAAGAACGCTGCCATGAAAAAGTACAGTGAATTAGAAATGTTTATACCAAAGGCGCTGAACAAGAAAAATCATACCAAGAACGCTGAGATAGAATAATTATACCAAGTTCAGCGAAACAGAATGATTTTACACAGAAAGCTGAAATAGAATGATAACTGCAAGTATGCTGAAATAAAACAATTATCACATTGATGCAGACGTAAATACTTATTCAAAGTTGGCTAAAATAGAACAATTATACAAAGCATCTTGGAAAAGAATACTTTTATCTAGGAGGCTAACAACATACTAGTAGTGACACAGAATAGTTTTGCCAAACACGTGAGCATAAAATGACCATACCAAGTACATTGGCATAGATGAATACTAATGTTGAGATGCTGAGAGAGAGAGAGAAAGAGAGAGAGAGCATGGTGAAATAATCAATACAGGGTTTGCTGCATTTGGTGAGACCAATCGGACGAGAGCACATTTAAATAAACGAAAAAAAAAAAAAAAAGAAACAAAAAACTTTATTTGTTTAAAGTATAATCCAACGAACTTCAAAATACTACATAGGTATAACACGTACATCTGCCTCATCCCAATTTTGCTTCTTCAGATTTACTTTATAATAGTTGTTTCCTTTCTCATGGACGTTACTTCCGAAAACAGATTCTGAAAGAAAAGAAATAGACTTGTAAATTTCTAATTAGGATTTTAATACTAAAGTATCAAATTCACACGCACGCATAAAAGCACAAAAACAGAATATATCACTTAAGATGGTGGATTCTCCCAGAACCTGCTCATTTGTCTTTGTACACGTATTTCAATGTATATTAGCGTAAAATCTGTTTTAAGTATAAGTGACTTTGACCCCACTGTCACAAAGTTAGAGGACAAGTCAATTTATGCACCTACCGAATCCAAAAGACACATAAAAAGAGAGAGAGATAAAGATTCCCTAAAAACGTACAAAAACGACAAAATTGAAAATGTTGCAGGATCGGTTTGATTGCGCCTGTTCATGGACAGTACTGGTAAGTCAATAAAAGTTGTATGGACAAAAGTGTCGAATTCTATTATAATCAGTCTCTTTTATTGTCGTAATTTTTTACATACCAAATATGAAAGACATCAGTCAGCCATGCAATAAATAAAAACTGTATAAGAAAGAGTACTAACAATTTTTTTTAGCACCGGTGACCTTGACCAACCTTCGCCTAATTTTAAAATACTTACAAATATGTGTTCTTCAATAAATGAATAAAGGTTTTAGAACAGGTGTAACAAGCATTATATATTATAATAAAAGGAGAGTATTAAAATAAAACAGGCACTCTTGGACAAACTTCCTCTCGCTGGTCTCTATCACCGTGTGATAGTATATAAAATTCTTTTAACATTTTTCCAAGACAAACATCATAATACTATAAACGGGGATACCTCAAAAACTAAAATTAAGTTAAGTAGAGTTGAGTTTTTATTCACTTCCTCCAACTGGTCTCTTATAACTGTGAAGAGTGTGAAATATGTATTTGGCAGTTAAGTAGCTACACGCCTGCATTATTTAACAGTATATGTCAAATATCAAATGGAAGTGATTAAAAACAGCAAACCCAAATTATGGTTCTTGGACACTGCATTATATTTTAAGTTTCATAATAGAAATAATTCAAATAGTCAACAAACTTTATAATATTGTTTTTTGCTAAATCTATCATACACGAAAGGTAACACTATTAGAAATAATTTACACTGTCGAGTATCTGTAGAAAATTGAAATGGTATTTCAGACATCATCATTATCATCCTTACCGGAATAAAATGCTTGTTAGTATAATAATAATAAAATAATAATAATATATAACAACCGGGTCAAAAAGTAGAACTATGCTCTATATCACGGCTGAAGCGGAAAAAGCGTAAAAACCTTGAATGGGTTTTGCTAACGTGTATCGATTTTGACTTATATTTATTATTACATTTATTAATTAACATTGAAATATTAACAAACAAAAAAAACGCAATAAATTTATTTTTATCACGACATATTACGTACTTATTTCCATGAAATATAATGACAAACATCAAATTAACCGTGATTTTTTCATAATGGCCGAGTTCTATATGTATCCATGATGTCGACGGCCCTGATTGCGCCATAAGTTTATTGGTTTTGAACGTTACCTTTAATAAAGTGAAAAATAAGTTCATTTAATTCTGAAATTATGTGTACAATTTTTAAGTAAATAACTTTTATTTGATTGAGAAAAAAAATCTTCGATAATGTCCCTTGCTCATTACAGTAATTATCATAAATTAACACGAGTTATATGAGCTTAGTTTGTGTGCCTGGATGGTTATATTATAGTTTTGAAATTATTTCATTGAGAAGACGATAACACTTAAATATTGTTTTGCTTTTCAAGTATGATAAATAGTGAAATGTTATATAACATTTTAAAATTCAAAAAGTTCTGAATTTTAAATAAGACATTGACATAATATATTGCAGCGCAGATTCAATATGATCTGTATTTAGACGACGATAGTATCGTTCTTTTGATCGATTCTGGCCAATGCATGTTCATAACAAAAGTGTTCTGATTAATTTTTTATGTTCCTGCTTTGCAGGACTGTTTCCAGCTTTCAATACATGATTGAGTGATCAGGTAACTTTTTCAAATATTCATATAAATTGTTTGCAATTCTAATGTAATTTTGTTGTGATAAATGCTTCCGAGGGATCACTTTGTTTCCAGATTTTTATACATCACAACAGCAGGTGTCAAGTGCCGTGTGGCAGCTGTAAAAAGTTGCCCCGTACTTCACTTCAGTGTTGTTATATTTTTCTGGTCCTTTGGGATCATTGATGCCCGCACTATTTAGTGTTGAGAATTGAGTACCGCTCAAGCCGGTGCTAGGGGGCTTGAGGGATGTTGCACTAAATCATTATCTCTCATGTACAGACTCAATCAAACCGAGTCTGCAATTCGTATGTAATTTTGTTGTGATTAATGCTTCCGAGGGATCACTTTATTTCCAGATTTTTGTTTTTTTCGTTTAATGACACAATTTATTATAACTTGTAAAACTAATATGTAATTGTTTAAAAAATTTAACATTATATGATATAAATGTTGATCTACATTATGAGAAATTGTAACTGTAAAAATTATTTTTCTCCTGTTAATCAAGTCAATAAAATACCAATATGAATAATGATAAAATAACTTCTACATGGAAAAAGTTAGGTAAAATACATAAAATAAAACAAACCAGGCAAACATCTGAACACAAGATCACTCCACGATCCATTTTGTAGACAAGTTATTGTCAGAGGATCGGTCACATTACTTTTGTATCCAGCTTGACATTTGTACTCAACTTTATTTCCGATTGAGAAGAGGTTTCCTCTGTAGAAAGCATTGCTTTTCTCTACAGGAAGTCTGCAACCTGTAACATAATTGAGCTGCGTCACGACAAAACCAACGTAATGCGTTTGCGACCAGCATGGATCCAGACCAGCCTGCGCATCCGCGCAGTCTGATCAGGATCCATGCTGTTCGCTTACCAACTCTTTTACAAGTAGAGAAACTGATAGCGAACAGCGTGGATCCTGATCAGACTGGACGCGCAGGCTGGTCTGGATCCATGCTGGTCGCAAACCCATTATGTTGGTTTTGTCGTGAGGCGACTCAATTATAAAATTGACATTGACAGTTATACCTTGATTAATTAAAAGCACATTATTCCACAGAAATGAATTAATATAATATTATAATTAATAACATTTGAAAAAATCACCTGAAAGATAGGGTTAATGTGAAATACTTTGTCAGAAAGATAGCAAAATGTTAAGAAAATGATATTTTGACTTCTTAACAAAATTCTAAATCACGATAAATACACTTATTGACAAAACGCAGAAGGAAAAAAAGATATCTCAGCTATGTGATCACGTAGTATGTGTTTGGAAACTTTTGCAGAACACCATAAAAAAGCTATCATGAAATTAAAAAAATAACATATCTAGGCTTAATGGGTCAATTTAATGTAGCAATGTTTGACCTTTTTTGTTTTGTTTAATTTTATGATTGGGTGATCGGTAATTAAAAGAATTGAACTAGCCATTTACGCGTTTAAGCAAATGGCCTCGTGACTAAAATCACACATGAGAATGGTTCTTGAATCTTCCTTTTATCTATTTTAGATGTTTACAATATCGCTGTGGCAGAAATGAACCGCCAATAATTTATGCAACAGCAACGATGCCAACAACAACAACGTAAAAATAACAACAATAGTAAGGGTAATATACTAAATAAAATTCAAATGAATAAAACAAACTTTGTAATCTATTAAATATTATCTTATTATATGTATAAGTAGAATCTTTGATTCATATTATATATGCACTTTAAAATTGCAATGAATATTTAAAAATCACCGGAGTTTTGACACTTGGGGACAGCAGGAGCTCCATTCTGACTACAGACGCCAACTTCATAGCAGCTCTCACATTGTTCATATCCCTTCTGCAAAAAAAAGATAATAAAATGAAAAAAAAAAATCAACAAAGCTCCTTTTTGTTATTCTTAATTTTCTCGCTTAATAACCGAATAATTACTTTTTGTCATATAACCAGCATTTGATAAAAAAAGGTTTATATGTAATATCACAAGGGCATTACACTAAAATAGCCAATGAGCATTACATCCCTTCGAAATATTGTAAATATAGAATGGTATGATAAACTTACATAGATGTTCAAGTTGTTTGGATACTTTGCGAACGGATGCTTTTTGTTTTGTTTGTTTGTTTCATTTTACGCCTTGTTCAAACAGTATTTCAGTCATATAGGCAGGTAGTTTCCTAACCATCGTTCCTGGAGAGTTACATCAGTACTAGACTACCTTCCTCCGCGCTAAACTACTAAAGCATCTCCCGGGGTTCGAACCCACGCCAGAGAGGTAACTGGATTAGAAGTCATCGACTCTAACCCCTCGACCAAGGAGGCGGTTAAAATCAGATAGATCAATCTGAGCAGTTTCAGCTTGTCCGTATGGAGATATAAACTAACAGGGAGTTCTGTCACGTCATATCTCACCAGACCAAACACCACTATATTATTGTTAGGGCAATGACCACTACAGAAATATTCCCCTCGGTTTGAAACCTACTAATTCAGTACTCTAATTTAGGTAGACCTCTGAGGCAGTGTCTCTGAGCCAATGGTCTGTCGGGACTTGCATCAAAGTGACCAACTGACCCTTTTACATAGCTGTTCAATGGTACTTTCCAAATTCAAAGCTGGGTAAGCGAATTTTACTGATTCAACTTGAAAAATTAAGTATATTGTATCTCAAGTTGTCAAAAGGCGTTAATATCATATGGAATAAAAAAGTACAACCTTCTTACCATATTCCATTCTCTTTTAACCCCGTAACTAAATACTGGTTTCTCCTCCACAAAATCTTCCTGAAAGAATTCCTCATTAATGTCAGAGCCTACATGATAGCAAAGCTTTGCCTTATGGTCATAATTAATAATTTTGCATTGTTTCTTTGACTTGCACGATTCAACGCAGTTCTCAATATTCCGCATTGGCGTCATTTCGAACGCGTAAAATGTTAACTCATAACTTGTTATGTCCGTTCTGATTCTATGTCCAAAATACAATTGCTCTGTATTTATTCTAGCAAACAAACTTAAACATATTGCCAGCAAAAGTTGAAAATGGTTTTTCATTTCGTTGACACAAATTATTATTTAATCAAGATCGTGTTCCAGAACTATCTAAGCTGTTGTTCACTTTTCAAAGAATTAACAATGGGCAAACTTTGCATTTGCAGCTAATGATTGGAATGAAGAAATGAATGCCTGGATATCAGAACTACTTTTAAAATTAATATTCATGATCTGAGTTTATAATCTATAACATAATTTTCCAGTGACTTAATTTCTATTTTATGATGTATGCAAATACCATTGTATTAGTGTATTAGGAGTTATTCTCCCGTTAATCAATCCATTGTTAATCAATCCATTGTTCAAATTCTAAATTATTAACACAGACCGTTATAGCTTAAGTGTAACGTAACAAGCTTTTATTGAATTAAAAATATATATATATCATCAGTCTGGAAAGAAAACATGTTATAGCAAGTGTATGGCGTACAGACAGACAGACAGACAGACATACATATATAGGTCTTTTACTTCCTGCTTGTGCAGTTCTTTTATTCAAAATAATTCCCTGTTTTAGTGCTATAGTCCCTTGTTTTCCATAACGCGTTTCTATAAATATCATGTTTATCAATATCAATCGCTAATCCTATAAACTATATAAAGGAGCCTAAGTTTTTCACTTATATTGAGTTTGAGTTTACATAAAATATATATGAGCCGTGTCACGACAAAACCAACATAGTGCGTTTGCGACCAGCATATGTATATGGTGTATTCTATGAACAACCTTTGCTCTTTATTGTCACAAATAACATAACAAATGACTATGTTATTTCAATATGTTCAATGATTCCTTGCAAAATAGGAATATCCAGCTGTTGTAAATAAAAACAAACAAACAACACCAATGAAACCAATAACAACGTTTTATTTCTTAAATTGTGTTCTTTGGGTTTATTATTGTTGACATTTGTTATCATCTTTTAGTCCATCTACCTGTCTCAATAACTTCGTAACGCTACTGCAAAATCTAAAGTCAGATATGTGCTCCTCTTCAATGGAAATAAGAGATTAAAGATATACTATGCTCATACTTGAGTGTACTATGTTAATCACAGAAATTTATTGAAATCTATAAAATTCGTACTGAATATGTCTAATGTGAATAAAAGAATAATAAAATTATGCATGGGAAGCTTCTTTCTCTATTACAGGTCAAGTGATGTTGGTCTTTTCTTAAAGAAACTGCCAGTTTTCTTTTAAAGAAAACTAAATACGTATTAATATTGTGACCGTTTTAAACATAACATAGTTATCTACTTTGTGTGAAGTAAAGAGATGTGTATTTTTTATTTTATGCTTTTCAGTGGATTACTGATTTATCCGTGAAAATTATATTTGATAATTTCACAGTGAAAATTATCAAAATATAATTTCACTTTTTTCAATGACGAAACTACTTTTTTAAGATTTTCCCCATGTGGTACCTCAATTTTATTTTTACTGACAATTCTGACAATGTCAGGCTGTTAAAAGAAATAGCAAAGCTGAAATAGATAAATAACTTAAATGTCAAAAGTAACACAGAGAGAAAACTTACTTCTATTCCTTCAAATTCCAATCACCAAATTTCGTCTCTAAATTTTTTTTTTTCGTTTTTACAGTCTGAAAAATACATTCCTTCCCCATGCAAAACTGCTCTTGATGACATTTGGGCATATTAAAGTATCCTACGAGCAATAACTGCCGTATGCTTATGAAAAATTGAAAAGCATTGACAGCCATCACTCGTAAAATAAGTAAAACAACCCAGCCTTCCTTCAGCAAGCTTCCAAGTTTTCCATTTTCCTAGCTCCTTTTCTGAATGTTTTCACTTCTGTCAACACTTATTTTTTGTCTGTTACAATCCTAAAATAAGTTTTCTTTCTTTTAAAAAGGTGTATGACTAACAAATCCAAATTATATCCTTCTGAATCTTACACAATTATTTTCCTCCCATGAAATAGACAACTTTAAAAAATGGCTGCCGTTTACATTTTAGAAAGCCAGGTCTAATATAAATTCGCAGTAAGTAACAGAAATTTGGATGGATGGTTGGAATTTTCTCCTGCAAGAATTGTTTGTCTTTATTATTAAAACAAGCGATCATTCATATTTTTTTAATAAAATGAATACATATCACCGTCATTTAACCTTGATTGGCGGACTTATTTTTCAGCTCAAGACTTCTTGTTTTAAATGAGAAATTCCGTCTAAATGGGGCTCTCAATGGGGGAAACAGATTTTAATATTAACGTTAAAATTATGGAAATTTCGTTTTAACTTGTTTTTAAGCATAAAATAAAAAGAAAATTTGTCTGTTTGTTGTGTAAGATGTAATTTTATTTCATCTCGTGAACTTTAAAAACAGTATTCTCACTTGTGGCTACGCCACTCGTGAGAATACTGTTTTTAAAGCTCACTCGATGAAATAAAATTTCATCTTACACACAAACAAACAAATATCCTCTATATATTTACAAAAATATTGTGTAGCAATTATTAATATTTTCTAATATCAAATTTGAACATAGTATATCTTTATGTTCTCTTTCCAGTGTTATCCTAGGTATGATGCCTTTGATAGGGGTTCATTTCTTATACATGTTATATTGTTTTTATTGTTTTATCCTGTATTGGAATATGTTTTACCATGTTGCTACATAAGAAATTCTGAAATAAATCTATCTATCTATCTATCTATCTGTCTGTCTGTCTGTCTGTCTGTCTGTCTGTCTGTCTGTCTGTCTGTCTGTCTGTCTGTCTGTCTGTCTGTCTGTCTGTCTGTCTGTCTGTCTGTCTGTCTGTCTGTCTGTCTGTCTGTCTGTCTGTCTGTCTGTCTGTCTATCTATCTATCTATCTATCTATCTATCTATCTATCTATCTATCTATCTATCTATCTATCTATCTATCTATCTATCTATCTATCTATCTATCTATCTATCTATCTATCTATCTATCTATCTTTCTATCTATCTATCTATCTAGGGTTGTGTAATCTACTCGACCAATTTTGCACACATTGATCTGACACTTTTTGTTTTACAATATATAAAATGAGATCAACGTTACATAAACTTAAAATATAGCTGCATCATGAAATTTCTTGATTACACAGATGATTTTAGATAAGTAAAAGCCTATTACTTTTGTAAGGTATGTATTTAAAATCGTTTTTACAATTATTTAAATACTCTCTCATCATATATGCCCACGACTATATGTAATATCTTTACCCACATTTTACAATATTTCACCGGCAACAACATATGAATGTGACTAATTCGGACTATTGACATTTCATTACAACTTACAGGCTCAATCAAACCGAGTCTGCAATTTTCATGTTATTTTGTTTCCGGGGAATCACCCATTTTCCAGATGTGTGTGTGTGTGTTTGTTTTGTTTTGTTTTCCACAATCTATCGACTCTTTAATATCATAACCTTCGATTGGATGACTCTACCGTAAGTCTTCATCTATCACAAAAACAAACTCCAAAAAGATAACCTATTATCCGGTATACGTTTAGATATTTTCCCTAACGTGCCAAGTAGCACCCCTACAATTAACATCATAATACATGTACTATCATTTTATGTGGAGTAATATTTAATTTATTTACTAAATATATTCGAGTTTATTTTCATTTTTATTTTCTCTGTACCTTTATAATATTTTTAAAAAAAATTTTCATAAAGTCCTTAATAAACTAATAAGTTTCAGACTTTGATTCATATACATTTTTTCAAATCAATTTGTTAAATTCTATAACACAGGAGAAATTTCGTTCAATAATCTCGACCAAAATATTATATTTATCAATAGCATAAATATTTCGAGACGAAATTAGATTTTCATTTAAACTATTTACTTTTTGCTCAAAATCAACAGACGGTAAATATTTTACAAAATCTTGTTTAAGATCATTAGACCATACCTATTTATAATTTACAGATTCATAAATAAATTCATTTCTACAAACATATGGTTTAATAAATTCGAACAAAAATTAAAACAGAATGATCAGATTATGTTTGGGTCCGATAATCAAAAGTTTTAACAAATTTTGTAATCCTATTACACTTCTAACAAACTACAACCGCCATGTCAAACCATCGTATATTGACTATTTAGACCACGAAGTTTTAACTCGAACATTTAAGAGGCCTTGTGACACAAATCTAACAATAAAACACCATTATTTCCATTTGGCCTTTGTTTTGAGAAAACCTCTTTAATTTTAACCTCAGGCCAAAAATTTAATTTGCACGTGTTTAAAACTATTATCTACAATAAAATCTGGCTGATCGGAAGTACGTCACGCATGCACGTCGCTGCACAACGGCAAAATAAAATAACTTCAATGTACTGTTTCATATTTTGAATTAGGCTAATCATAAAATAATAGACTTTGAAAACTTACAAATATACGATCTTGCTAAAAAAAAAATTAACATGACATGTGATATGAAACTAATGTCTGTGAATATGCACCGCATTAACACTGATATTCGTGGTGTGTTAGAATCCGTGCATAAACGTATAGATACAGTAGAGAAAAGTGTAAAAAAATCAAAGACTCCGAGCAGAAAATGGTGAACAATATTAATAAGGGGTTTCACGAAGAAATTACAAAATTGAAGCAGTATGTTTAAGACAGTACAAAATATAATAATTCAGTTAGAGGTAAACAGCTCAATCAAAGTCAACAAACTGTCCATTGGTGAGATCCAGAATACACTTACGGGTCTGCAGGGAACACATAACAGTTACATGGACAAATCGCTGACATTGTTTTAAGTCATGTACATAAAACGTCTAGTGAGGACACGGTTCAGAAAGTTAATAACATTTTTAATCATAGTTTAAAACACACTGTGAAGGCAGTTCTAGCTGAAAGGAAAGGAGTGTCAGATGATGGTAGAAATTCACGACCTATAGTGATAATGGCACGCAGGGCATGCAGTGAAGACAAGTTATCTGCGATGAAGGTAAAAATTTCTCTTAGAAAACAAAGTCAGTATGCTAAAGTGTTCATTCTTGGAGCCCAGTAAAGAGGAAAGAACACATGCAAACAACTTAAACAAATCATTGATAATATAAAAAATGCAATATTTCCAAAATTTAGATAAACGTTGCTCTCGAATCAGAGCGAAATCTCATCGCGATAGTGTGGGGGAAAATGACAGAAGCAGCCATGACAGGAATGATAAATAGGAGTTAAATTCAATGATGATATCATTAATATTTTATTATATTTAGACAATATTGTGCTTATTGCTGAAACTGCTAGGGATTTACAAAGTTTGCTTGACATTCACAGTGCCTGGTGTATTAATAATAAAAGGAGTGATAACGGTGATTAGTCAAATATAGTTAATTTTAGAACAAATAGTTGTGTCTTTACAAATAATGTCTTTAGTAAAGGTTCAATACTGATACCTGTTGTGCATAGTTATAAATATATATGTGTTATTTTAAATAATTTTTTCAGAAATAACTAACACTATTCATACATTTTTATAAATGATGGCAATTTATTGCATTGTTTTAGTGGAATGGAATATTTAATAGATTCCAGATCATGTCAAATTTTATTATTGACCTCTTATTGTGACCTTGACCTTTACCACAATACACCTGAATTTTCCACTCGACACTCAGCGTTGCTATGGAGAACATTTGTCCCGAGTTATATGCATGTGAAAGTTACGCTTCGGACACGAGTTTTGCACTGACCACCATGTGTGATCTTGACCTTTGAGCAGCGGACTTGGGGTTTGTTTGTCACACACAGCCCCATCATGGTAAACATTTGTACCAATTAATTTTGTAATCCTTGAAGGAACGAGCAAGATATAACCGGATAAATCCGGACGGACACATGGACAGACGAACGCCGGACGCACATACACCGAACTTTACACCAAACGTGGCGACTAAGTCGGCTTACCGCAGCGGACTCTACTAAATATTGTCTTAAATAAGCAAAAAGTCTTCTTCAGGGACATATACCTTAAATAGCTGGGCTATAAATTCCTATCTGCCTGTTTTCTTTTTTCGTTTTTTTTAAACATGTTTAAATTAAGATTCCCAATAATCATTCAAAATGGTTTCAGGAATGTCTGCTCATTAATTAATTTTTTTCTTCTATATCTATAGGAAAAACATGAAGAAACTATGTAAAAAAGGTCGTTAGCAATTGAAAATTGTTAAATAAGAAGATGTAGCTCAAATGAGGTTAGGCGTTAGATTAGCTTTGTAATATTTGCCGAGTTTGTATTTTGCTTGCCGTTTTCACAATTCGTGCTTTGGTCGTTTTATGTGACAATAAATTAATAACGTTGTGGTGTTGGTAGTTTACTCTCCGGATCACGACAGGGAGCCACATTGAATTTACCATTACATTGATTACGTAGAAAAGGCAACAATGCTTCATTACTTGCATTCATTACTATCAATTCATTGCTGCTTTATCACTCACCCTGCTGTGCATTAAATTTTCAAAGGTATATCAAGTTAACAAATGCATACCATTGTCAATAAATTTGATTGTTAACATTAAGCATAACTATCCTGTTGTGGTGTATTCAATAGCAATATCTTAAATAATGTTACTCGTCTCACGAATTCATTTACATCTAACAATTGGACAGTATTTTCAAAGAATACTATCAAATAATTTTTATGTGTTATAATTTTAAGTTTTTTTTATAATTTAATAATGCGACTGCCCACTGGCCTCAGGCAAGTATCCCTAAAAATGATGACTTGTTGTAGAAAATACGGAACGCTCCACAATGAGGACTTCTCGACAAATTCAGAACTGTAATGTGAAAACTTTGACAAAAATAATGGTAAGATAAACATGTTTGTCAAGAAATCTAAGGCATTCGTGTGAAAATATTATTTGTATTATTTATCTGTCTATAATGATATACATATTTGTTTGATGGTATAAATATTAATTGGAAAATATTTTTTCTGACACATCAATTTATATTTGGCAGAAATAGGTTAACATGTTAGTAAACATTTTTAAAACCATTTATATAATTACAATGAGTTTTAAAGACATCTGAGACAGGTAAACAATTAAAAGCTATAGCACAAATCATATAAATCTATTTGATCTAATACAAAATACTCGTCTATATTGCTGATACTATTATTCCTCTATGATTTAAACATTTCCCATAACGCTCTGATGTATTTTGAATGGGATACACGGGACTTATTAATCAAGTTAAGCGTTACAATTTTTAATCGATGCCACAGGTGGCATCCTATTGATATAGACGTAGAGACTGTGCACTTTTGCATTCTAGTCAATATATGTATACGAGTATACCATCAAATATGATAAATAAGATCAACAAGTGAAGGCGGCGGCGTTCAATGAACTGAAAGCCTGTTGAAAACAATTTGCGTTTCAAATATCGGATATAAAACAAGAGATTTTGTTATTGAACTTCTTACGCATCTTACATTTACAATTTGTAGCGCGTATATAAGCTATCAAAGGAGTTGTATCATGGATACAAACTAAGACATGTATAACTGTTCTTATAACAACATTGAATCAGTACATGGTCATGTCAAATTTTTTAAACTCCTCGGAGGCAACATTTCCCATAGAATTGTTCAATGATCACAACTAAAATGTCATTCCAAGAGAAAGTTAATCTTTGCGAATTGAAGTCATTCTTGATGTTAAGCATTTTCTAAGGCATTCTATAATAGTTATATACTCATTCAATAAAAGGAACAAGTTAAATAGGTTAGCATCGTATTTTACGCAGAAAAGTGCGGAAACTACTTTTTTGCCATATTTTTAATTCTGATTCTGATATATGTAATGACAAAATCTTGGGTTCAATTTGGTCTTACAGATTTTTGTTAGTTTTGTAAGAACAAAGTTTTGTCATACGTTTGACCAAGGCGCAGACTAACAACTGGACATCGACGCTAGTTCAAGACAATGCAAACCGGCAGTTCAGCTTCCATACCAGCCTGCAATTACAATTATTGTAGTTATCTTATTCTACAAATGAACATAATTCTGTAGTTTTCCTGAGTCCATAGGCTTCGTACAAACAGGCGGAGTATTTTATTCCTTTACAAAAATAGATTTTAATTCTGAAAATAAAATGTACTTCAATTAAAGGAGAGATAATGTAAATGTTCATAACAACTCATGATTGCACATTCATAATGTTCTTTGCAGAGCGCCAGTGACAATGTCAGTGGCAATAAAATAGTACTTTAATTGATATTGAGTTAATAAAATCTTGATATATGATATATATTTGTATATAACACATGTTTATGACATATTCCTATCAGATGAATCATAAATACAAATAAAACTTACTTTTTTATCATTTCGTACTGTTATCATACTTATTGAAAGCACACTACAAACAAACATATATTTCAAAATGACTTTATAATTTGTTTAACATGAGACTAATAAGTCGTAGCCATAGAAACGTCACTGACAAAGGTATTTTACTGAATATATAATGAATTGTTATACCAATATTCTCTCTACAATGAAAATTCACGTTGTGACCATCAAAAATATCATTTTTGATATGTGACTGAGATGTTATAAAATCATGTGGCCACGTTGGGCAAATATTTTTTCGATCTTTTTACCAACTCATACAGACATTACCTCCTTTATATACATATGTTTATCTACGTTCATTCTTCTTTGCCATAAGTGACTTTAAAGATAGTTGAATACATAATGATTATTAATGAAGTTGAGGGACTTGAAATAAGTATGTTTAAACTATTTTTGATCTTATACGATCATGTGCTCTTATGTTGATGATCTTGTTAAGTATTGCTTAGTTTGAAGATGAGTTGCAGATTCATATTAATTTATAAAGGAATAAAAACCAAATTAATTAAATGATAACTTTAAAATTTGGAAGTTAAAAGTATGATTTTTAAAGGAAATGCGATTTAAATAATATTACGTTATCATGATAAATTAATTGAATAGTAAACAAGTTTACATATCTAGTTATCGTTTTTACATGTGGTGGCTCAGAAAGCGATGTCAAATTTAAAAAGAATATAGAAGTTTACATTCATTAAAACATAGAAATATGCTAGAGTTGTTTGATGTTTATTTCATCTGTATTAAATAATTTGTATTGAAGTTATGTGTTTAGTTAAAGCCAGTAAAAAGAACGCACTTGTATTTTTGTAATTAGGTTTAGATGTTAAACGACTTTACTTTGTTTATAGTGAGCTTTTAATTAGAATGATCAAGTAAGGCAGAGATTTAATTATTCTTTTATTCAAAACTATCATCATATTATACACTGTTCATCCTGAGTATTGTATAATAGAGATAACGTAGATGTAAAGTTTTAAGAATATCTATGTCATAATACAGTTGATAAGTGTAGTTTTTCATTGATAAGATATAAGTGTCTGCTGAGGCAGGAGGATGGACAATGTCATTAAGAACAACGATCAATAAAGGAAAAGCTACTGTATGTATAATATTTAAGAAGATGAATATCATTTAACTATTGGAGTTTCAATCAAACATCAATGTGAATAAATATGAAAAGGAATGAAGTCTGTTTTCTTAATTATGTTCTTTTTCTGTATGATATTATGATATACTCTAGTAATACGGTTAAGTTATTAATTAATTAGCTTTTGCCACGTGACAACTTCTGTCCCCAGTTGACCATACCTTTCAACAGATCATCATCTATTGAAGGGTTTCTGTATATTTAAACCAGACTAGACAATTAGCACATTGATTTATTTTCCATCCAAAGGATAAGTTAAATATTTACTCGAAAAATGATTATTTGTAAATCTCCAATGCATCAATTTTGATTAATATTGAACATAGCAAAATTCATATCTACATGACTGCATATAAACCTTCATTTTTTAAGGAAAGTTTACGCAACATTAAACTGTATTTATGTTGTAACATATACAAATGCAATGTTATAGGATCATTTTTTGTCATAGTTATACCCTCGATTTGCTTAAGTTTAATTGGTAATGTTCAGTTAAGGAAATGATAAACATTCTGCTTGACCAAACATTGCTGAATACATGAGCTTTTATTTTAGTTATTGATAAATAAAAGTAAAAAAGTAAACTTCTTAGAATTTGTTGAAATTTTTAAGTAAAGCCAATACGAGATAAATAGTTCATGTTTATCTATGTCAGATTTAGAATTAGTTACAATTTACTGTGACTATGAAACCATGAAATCGTCTGCACACGATAACGTGTCAACATTTATATGAATTATATTTCAACCAGTTTCAAACCATGATTAAGTGTTTTATAATAATAAAAAAGTGCATTATATGTGGATACTGCTATATGTTAATATGACAGAAGAGAACATAGAAGCAAAATGGTGAGTATACGTCCATACACACATGAAGATATCAGTGCATTGATGGAACTCACAGAATTGGAAGATTGGGGTTTTTCTGAAATTGACTGTAGGGCAACTCTAATGGTTGACCCTGAGGGATTGCTTGTTGCTCAGGATGCAGTCGGAAAACCTGTTGGTAAGTCGATATCTTTAGTTTAAGCACTTATTCATTAAAGATTAAATTTGGTCGTTAACAAAATGATAGTACAGGTCTTTTATTATCAATAGAAACTACTAAGAATTCAGGAGTCGAATGCGTTGTTTTATAAAGGGTGTGTGCAATTTAATTTCCCAAACAAAATGAAATAAATATACCAGATATATTTAGAATAAAAAAATATTCAGCATATACATTTTTTTAATTAAATAAATGTTATAATAAATATAATGTAGGATAAATTGCTACTCAATTTGGGCGAGTTGTTATGAGACAAATTGTACAGTTTGTTGTACGTTTGATTATTTACCATGTACTTTAAAAATTAGATAATTGAATATTCTTTAGGATGGAAATAAAAAATGCACATTGATTTCAATGGCAAGAGATTCTTTCTTGATTACCAGTTTCAATTCTCAATAAAACATCGTCAATTCTTACTCTAAAACATTTAAACGACAGTGAAGTATTTTATACAGTAATAAAAGCTTCGAATTAACATACATAAGATTGGAAGTACCTTTTTAAACATTCTACTAGTTTTTGATGCATTACCTTTCCAGAGAGAGAGGGAGAGAGAGAGGGAGAGAGAGAGGGAGAGAGAGAGGGAGAGAGAGAGAGAGAGAGAGAGAGAGAGAGAGAGAGGGGGGAACAGTCCACACGCAAACATTTCACTTAATCCGTATCTGAAATTTATCGTTTATACTACTGAGAATACCTACTGCTAATTTTGCTGCAAAGAGATGCCCTATCCCAGACCAAGACTTAACGGTTCCAACAAATTCAAAAAGATTTATGGTGAATATATATTTCTAAAAAAACGTGTTTTTATAATAAGATGAAAAATAATTTCATTTCTAGGGTTCATTGGTTGTTTCAACATGGCACCCGACATAGTGTACGTGAATTTGTTCATTGTACAAACAAATATGAGAGGTAAAGGAATCGGGAGGAAATTGTGGAATGCGATGTTAGATACTGCTGGTCATAAAATTGTAGTGCTCGATAGTATTTCAGAAATGAAAGAATGGTATAAAAAACAGGGATTAGTCTTCGAGGAATTTACTGTTAAATGCTACGAAGGAAAGATAACCAATGTTGAAACTAACATTTATGTAGATTCGTCATACATCTGTGTGCCTTTGACAAAAAAACACCTGCCGGCTTTACTTGCATATGATCAGAAAATATATCCTTACTCGAGAGAGAAGGTGTTGCGGGCATGGTATTTCGGATCTGATAAATACAGCTTTATTGCATTGTATAACAAAACTATAGTCGGTTATGCAAGTTGTCATATGAAATCTGAAAATGTATGTTTCATACGAGCGTTATACGCAGATAATGACATTATAGCAGATAAGTTACTGGTAAAACTGTTGTCTCACGTCCCTAAAGCAACCATGCTTTCATTTGTAATCTTGGACGACAAACCATTACCGAAATATTTTGCAGACTTTGTCAACACCGGGACAGAAGTGAGACTTCTTACAAAAGAAATGCCTGGTATTCAAACCGACAAGATGATAATGAATACAGCTCATACAATTTGACGATAAACTTGATTTGTGTCGACGATATCTGAAGCTTCTACATTTAGTTTCGTTTCAAGAAATACAAAATTTATAATGAATAGTATGAGCTGCAAATTGTCCTTATTTGTCACGACAATTCAGTAAATTAAAAGCTAGAAGGTAGATTGCTATCCACAAATATGATATATTTATCGAATCTATTTCAATTGCAACACTTACTTATTAATGTACCTGCCTTACATGATCGTTAATACGAGTTTGTTTGTCAGCTTATTCAATAAAAAATATTGCATAGCTATGACTGTGTTAGTTTTCAGAAAGTCACATTAAAGATACGATAAACACAGCTTTACAGAAGTAAAGGATATAAAACAATGCTTCACATAAATCCGGTTGCTGACACATACTTTTTAGTAAAGTATGTTATATTATATATGCATACCAAAATCCCTCACCGCTGTGGGTTTGAATCCCGACAGGGACTTTGGATTCCTCTCTGTGAGGAAGCTATCCGGCTAGATTACGGAACGTCGGTGGTTCTACTAAGGTGCCCGTTCGTGCCTGAAATAATGCACGGAAGGGCACTTGAGGTCTTCCTCCACCAGTAAAGCTGGAACGTCGCGATATGACCTTTAATGTGTCGATGTGACGTAAACCCAAAAACAAACATACAGAACAAACATACCAAATTGGGTGGAGAAGCAATGCAATATTTCTTGATGTATTATGTATTGGAGAAAACGTACACAATATTTTGTTTCATTAATATAATCAAATTCTTATGTCTCAATATTACAAACCAGCACCGGAAAATAATGACAGGACACTTTTCCGTGTTGTAAATCTTCTTAATATCCTGAAATATCTTGGATGAATGTAATGTTAAAATTCCGATATTTCGACACCAAATGACGTAAAGCGGGATACATAATTTAGGACAAGTGAAAGTGGAAATCATTGGTTTAATACAATATGACAGTATGACCCGACAAGTGCAGTTGGATTAAGCACTATTTCTAGGTTGGTGATTTATTAATAGACGACAAGAGTCTTACAAGAAGCCCTCCTCCGGTAGGCCAGTAACAGACGCTTATAACAACGCAATTGTTGCTCAAAGTCCCAAGTCTGATAGAAGAAATTGTTTATGAAACGGGGATAAGTAAAAGTTCCGTTTATGTTATTCTGACGCAGAATTTACACATGAGAACAATTGCTGCTTGTAGGGTGCCGCACGCACTCCCAGAAACTAAAAAACATGTCTTCTAATTTGCACTGGATTATTGAAAAGATATTCAGAGGAGGGTGAAATTATGCGGAATAGAGTGGTCCTATCAACGAAACATGGATCCGGTCATTTGAGACAGAATTAAACCGCCAAAGCTCTGACTGGTATACTCCAAAATCGCGAAGATCTATGAAATATCGGAGCAGTATGAACTGTCAAAAGATGCTAATGAACTCCGCTTACGATATTAACGGCGTCTTGACAACACACGGAGTTCCACATGGAATTACAGTTAATAAAGAGTACTATGAATGGTATTTGACTAAAATTCTTCGACCACTGATACGCCGCAAACTTCTTATGTTCAAACTTCTCTATTTGATCACCACATCGTCGTTATTAGTGCCATGTGATGGCTGTCAAAAGTCGATCTGTACATTCCATCAAAGGAGTTATATTTCCGATCCTTAAAGGTCGTTTAACACGACATTATTGTTGTGTTTGTGGTATTTTTTAGTTTCAACTATTTAGCTTTTTCGATTTGGATGGTTCCAATATTCTTACTTGAATAATGTTGAATCAACCTTAGGGTATGTTGCCTTTGTCTTTATACGTCTGATCTGTGATATGCAGGCTTCATAACCTCATAACATTTTTATGCCCCCGCCATATAATGGCAGGGGCATATAGTGTTACCCTGTTCCGTCATTCCGTCATTCCGTCATTCTGTCATTCCGTCCTTCCGTCCTTCTGTCATCATCAGTTTCCGTTCATTATCTTAATAACCCTTGCACATATTGAACTCAAATTTGACATATGGATATGTCATGAGAAAATGAAGGTCAAGTTCGAAATTGGTCATGGTTCGATGATTTTTGGCAGAGTTATGCCCCTTTTACATTGAAAATAATATGAAATTTTCAGTTTCCGTTCATTATCTCCCAAACAAATTGACATATGGATATGTCATGAGAAAATACAGGTCAAGTTCGAAATTGGTCATGGTTCGATGATTTTTGACAGAGTTATGCCCCTTTTACTTTGAAAATAATATGAAATTTTCAGTTTCCATTCATTAACTCCCCAACGGTACAACACATTCAACTCAAACTTGACATATTGATATGTCATGAGAAAATACAGGTCAAGTTCAAATTTGGTCATGGTTCAATGATTTCTGGCAGAGTTATGCCCCTTTTACTTTGAAAATAATATGAAATTTTCAGTTTCCATTCATTAACTCCCCAATGGTACAACACATTCAACTCAAACTTGACATATGGATACGTCAAAGAAATGCGCAGGTCAAGTTCAAATTTGGTCATGGTTCAATGATTTTTGGCAGAGTTAGGCCCCTTTCACTTTGAAAAAATATGAAATTTCCAGTTTCCGTTCATTATCTCCCCAATCGTACAACACATTTAGCTCAAACTTGACATATCGATACCTCAAAGGAATGCGCAGGCCAAGTTTAAATTTGGTCATGGTTCGATGATTTTTGGCAGAGTTATGCCCCTTTTACTTTGAAAATAATATGAAATTTTCAGTTTCTGTTTATTATCTCCCCAACAGTATTAAACATTCAGCTCAAATTTGACATATTGATACGTCAAAGAAATGCGCAGGTCAATTTCAAATTTGGTCATGGTTCGATGATTTTTGGCAGAGTTATGCCCCTTTCACTTTAAAAATAATATGAAATTTTCAGTTTCCGTTTATTATCTCCCCAACAATATTACACATTCAACTCAAATTTGACATATGTTTTTGGAATGCGCAGACTAAGTTCGAATCTGGTCATGGTTCAATGATTTTTGGCAGAGTAATGCCCCTTTCACTTTGAAAATGATATGAAATTTACAGTTTCTGTTCATTATCAACCCAACAGTGTTATATATTCAACTCAAAATTGACATATGGATATGTCAAAGGAATGCGCAGGTCAAGTTGGAATTTGGTCATGGTTCGATGATTTTTTGGCAGAGTTATGTCCCTTTCACTTTGAAAATAATATAGATACATCTTAGGAATAAGCAGTTTAAGTTTGAATTTGGTCGTGGTTCAATGATTTTAAACAAACTTATCTTTCCTGAATGTTGGAAAAATTTTGAACTTTCAGTTTCAGCACTCATACTTTTGTGGAAATGTATATAGCCATTATGTTGGCTACAAATATGCAATATGCTATTTTTAAAAGGTTAAGACTGAATAATTTCAGTGCCTTGAACATTGTATAAAAATGGTTTGTGTTAACATTGAAAAGTTTTAAGGGCTTTGAACATAGAATGAAAAAAATAATTTGTGCAAACAAATTTGGAACTAAATATTATAACATTTGAAATTTTGGCTGCATGCGGGGGCATCCGTGGCATGATGACACATTTCTAGTTTTTTAATTCCGCCTATTGTTTTCTCGTTTATGTGACACGCTTTCTGTTACTTGGGGACCATAAGCCGCTTTTCATGGAATGACACATACGTGTCACATTTAAGGTTCCATGATAACTGCCATATGAACATATCTGCGGATGTTTCTTAATTCAAAATTTCACCGATTTAATTTTATAATAATGAATTTGCTTAAGCCGGTACTAGGTGGGTGGGGTGGACGGTAGTTTGCATTTGACACTACCGTCCACGAATATGCTCAATCAAACCGAGTCTGCAACATTTTCAATTTGCCGTTTTGGACTTTCTTTAGGGGTTCTTATTTTCTCTATTCCTACAGTAAACGCCATTAATTGCACATGATAAAACCACGCCGCACAAGTTCGGCGTTGTTAGGGACTTGTTTTGAGCGGTACCACTGGGAAGTTCTTAAACATCCGCCATATTCGCCAGACTTTAGTCCTCCCGACTATGGCCTGTTTCCAAAGCTTAAAGAACCACTACGAGGAGTCCGATATGACGATTTGAATGAACTATATGCCTCCGTGAACGCGGTCATTAGGGACATCAACAAAGGTTGCCTAGGAATGGGAGTTTGGGATCTGCCAAAAGGATGGGAGTCGATCATAGCATCCGTGGGGACTATAAAGAGATATTGTGGGTAACACTTGTATTTTTTACGTAATTACGTTACTCTCATTAATTTCTGGATGGCCCTCGTAAGTTTCCTTTTGTTAGAAAATTTATCAAACATTGAACCACTCGAGATATTGTTTTAAAGACATCAAGAATGGCCTGTTTTCCAAGTTTACAAAGAAGGTGGAATGTGTGTACTCTTTTATTTGGAGTCCGATGTGGAAAAAGAGAGCCGTCTATACGACAAAGATTCATACCACCATGCATAATTTCGAAATCCAACAGAAAACTCTTTATCACGTTACGAACGTAATTTCGCCAGTTCTGTGTATCACGATTCTAAGTTTTGTTTCATTTCTTTAACCTTAAGAAAATGACGAGAAGGTTCTATTTTTATTCAAATATTCCAAAGAATTTCTGTTTTCATGACAACTAATAACAGTTTGCTGCATGAATCATCTCAGAAAGTCGCATCCTTCAGCGTTTATGCTGACAGTACTGGAGATATATTATACAAGATGGAAATTTTTGGAATAAAGTACCAGTGCTGTTAGTCTTTCCACATGGAAATTTCTCCTTGGACCCCTCCTGCTTTTGCTGTACATAAATAAACTTCAAGGCACAGTCAGATCAAGATTTTGCCTTTTTGGCTGGTCATAAGAAGGAGAGTAGAATCTGCCAGTGTGGACTCTGATAATCTGGCGAGCAGGAATGGAAGATGACTTTAAACATTGACAAATGTCATATCATGCATATTACTAACTGTCCTATAAAACCTTGAAT